GTGGACGGAAGTCTAGAGGGTAAGTTGCCTAAAGCTAATGTATTTTTTCTTTCAATTAAGGTAATTTTTTTTTTTTTTCCTAGTTGGGTACTCACACACGCATGCCTCCACGGAGGCTCGAACCCCTGACCTCTCTTTGAAAAGTAGGGGCTTGGTACCGCTAGGCCACTAGCCTGTTGGTAATTAAGGTAATTTAAATGAATTGATATCTTTAAATGAAGCTGTCATAGGGCTACATTCTACCATAAACACAAGTTTGGTAGTTTAAATCTTAATTGAGAGAGATGATTTCAAACCATTCAAGTTGCCTTAATTGAGAGATAACAAAGTTTAAACAAAATTGAGACTAAATTTGGAAAAGGAGAAATAATTGGAAAATTAAATGTTGATAAAGTGATTTCTGAATGCCTTAGCACTAACCACAATTATATAGACACCTTAGACTATCATAATAGTTTTAATGTTTAAGGTTACAGGTTTTTATTTGAAATTGATTTTGGGTTATCCTGGAATGCCATACTGTTAATCCAATTCATTTTCATTCGATGAGTTATAGAAAATAAACTTGGAATCAAATTTTATTTTCTAGGAATAACTACTAATTTGTTGGTGTTATAGGCAAACACAAGCCAGAGCAAGCTTTCCTGATTGTACCCCTCCCCTTCCATTCTTCGATCAAGTCTATTATATTCTACCTTTAAATCCTTTGTATTTTTTGCTCTATCATTATTTTATTTGCTAGTGATTTTAGGGTTTCTTCCGATTTAAGTGATTTTATTCGGTTTTGATTTGACATTGGGGAGGAAAAAGACGAGGTGATGATGAAATGCATTGGTATTTCAATCCACTGACATATGTGTGATGTTAATAATGAATCCCGACAGGTTCTGATCGTCTTTTTCTTCCCACACCCAAAAAAGCCTACAAATTATCACTTGCTAACTCACATCTTTATATATATATATATATGTATGTATGTATGTACTTAATATGTATGAGTATGTTTATGTTCTTATTTTCTTGGTAATGGGCATGTGATGAATCTCATAACAAATGGGTTATTTGCGTCTGAATGTTTCAGTGATGCTAAATCACCTTGGAGAACTGATGATGAAATTCATTGGTATTTCAATCCACTGACATGTGTGATGTTAATATTGAATCCTGACAGGTTCTGATCGTCTTTTTCTTCCCACACCCAAAAAAGCCTACAAATTATCACTTGCTAACTCACATCTTTATATATATATATATATATATGTATGTATGTACTTAATATGTACGAGTATGTTTATGTTCTTATTTTCTTGGTAATGGGCATGTGATGAATCTCATAACAAATGGGTAATTTGCGTGTGAATATTTTCAGTGATGCTAAATCACCTTGGAGAACTGATGCATCCTTTTATTGCGTGTTTAGCTTCTTTTTAGACAGTGTGTGACGGCAACAACTTTTTTTTAGATTTTAATAATATGAATGTGAATGGTGTTATTATAGTAAAAGCAGAATTTCAATTTTATGAGTTTAAAATGAAGTTAATCCTTTACATTATGTTGCCAATTGTCACAGGTATGTTATTTTTTTCCCATGTACATTAGTGACATATTTAGCTATTTGAAAGATGTATGGACTAAGTAAAATATATTATTGTAAACATTTTTTTGGTTTTGGTTTAATTAATTGGGTGGTTCTGAATTAACAATGCTTGATACCCATGTGAGGTATTTGTTTTGGACCTAACATGAAGTACTTTCAAGGGTTTTTGAATTTTTTGCCTTTGGAACATTTAATTGTGCAATAGTGGAGGTTGTAGGCAATGACTTAAGTCTTAAACTTCTCTATCTTGACATTGGTTGCAATAAGGTGGAAATGTATTATTTAACTCTTTTATTTGCTACGTATGGGGATGTGCATATTCTAAATTTTATCATTAATGATCTCAGTTCTTGTTTCACTTCCTTGAAGATAAGGTTTGCTTAATATTTTTTTTTTCAGTCATCTTCTTATGTATAACATTGTAGCTTAAGTTATCAACAGGCCTGTGGCCTATCGGTACAAGGCTCCTACTTCCCAAAGGGAGGTCAGGGGTTCGAACTTCAGTGGAGGCAGTGTGTGTGAGTCCCAATTAGGAAAAAAAACATTGTAGCTTAAGTTGTAACAATGTTGTTTCTAAGACTCATTTAACCAAGTTTACTTTATGTAACAACGTTGTGTTTTTCAGGTAGTTCTGATTAGGATTGATAAGTGTTAAGTACTGGATCTGACTCTCTTATGTTGCCGGAGAGGATCTCTAAAATTATTTGTACTTGGGGTAAGTTGCCTAATGCCAATATCTGATGCATCATTTGGTATTGTGTGTTGGTTAAGTTGTTTGATGTGTTTAAATAAATGAAGTGATTATTTTTTTCTTAGTAAACAATTTAAATGAATTGATTTTTTAGATTCCCTCTCAATTATGACCATATCAAAATTTTGTGCAACCACATTCTGCCATAACATAAGTTACTGCTTGGATACTTTAAATCTTATGTATCGGTTGGGTAATTTAGATCTTAATTTAAAGAGATGAAGATTTGAAATCTTCTAAGTTGCTTTAATTGAGTATTTTAAAGAAGTCTAAACAAAATAGCCATGATTATAAAGCAGGAAAAAAGATAAAAAGTCACAAAAATAAATGTCTGATGGATTTGGATCCCTTCCTAGATCCTTTTAGAAGACATTGTGTTTAAGTTTTATAAACCCTAAATGCATTCCACAAGAGAATTTCTCTCTTTAAAACTATTCATTCAAGTCTTCCACAAAATTCTCTGTCGAAATCTCTCACAAGTCAAGTTTTAAGCTTTAGAAATCTCTACAATGGGAGAGAAGTTAGCAAGTAGATCAGGGAAAGGAGGAGAACATAGAGCTTGAAAGCTGAAGGAGATACTTTTGAAAGTTTTTTTGAAAAGGATTTTCATCTTTGCATCAAGAGTTTTCATGCTCTACCCAAAACATCAAATACTCATTTCATTACAAATTACATCTTTGGACATTGAAGAATGGAGGAGCAATAATGTGGTATAAGGAAGAGGAGATCTAGCAAGCAAGGGCTTGTAGTTCCTACGATCTAAGAGCATCGCAAGCCTTTTTGGCCAATGGCTTGCATTGGGTTGGGCTTCTCCATTTGGCGGAGTCCACACCAAATTTCACACTCCACTTGTGGAGTAGCGCCTTTGATGTTTGACCAAGTGCCTCAAGTGGGCCCTTGTGTACATTTTTTTTTTTTTAAAAAAAAAAAAAAAAGTGGTTTGTGAGACAAATAAAAAAAAGAAGTGTAGAGCCAAAAAATAATAACATAATAAAGTGGAGACTAGGAGAGAAGAGTGCACACCAGGACTCTCCAGAAAAAAAGTGTAGAGCCATGTTAACAATCTTTTAAAAAAGTGTAGAGCCAATTTGCTTCTTCCACACAGGATGCTCTAAAAGTGAGATTGAAGATTAGAAGAAAGTATTAGTCTTTGTGTATGAGATCGCATCATTCTATTTATGAGATTTCTAAGCCTAAATTCGTGGGAATCTAGAAATATAAAATGTCTAGGACAATAGTGTATATCTCTATGTAGTCTCTTGGAGAAGATGTTTTAGGGTTTAGAGCATCTGGTGTGCAAAAATTGGCTCTACACTTTTTTTGGAGTCCTTTCTCTTCCGCTTTCTACTTTATTATTTTATTATTTTTTGGCTCCACACACCATAACTTTTTTTTTTTTTTTTGAGTGTGCTATAACGCCTCACCAACGGCCCAAAGTGAGCCCTTGTGTATATTTTTTTTATAAAAGTTATACCACACTCCACTCGTGGAGTGTGGAATTTGGTGTGGGCTCTACCAAATGGAGAAGCCCACTCCAAGTGCAAGCCATTGGCCAAAAAGGCTTTCCGATGGCCAAAACACTCTCTAAACCCAATAAACAAATTCCGATCAGGTATTTTTGTAACGTTTTAAAGTACAAATTTGTTTAAATATTAAATAATTCATCATAAGAAAGGCATTACTTAATAATTCCCTAATTTAATACTTAATAAGAAAGGCATTATTTAATATGCTAATAAGTAACCATTTGAGAATTATTCATTTTGTCAGTACTTCATAGTTTATTAATTTTGTTTAGGTTTGATTACTTATATCTAATTTTTCTTTAATTCTTTTTAGAGGTTCACCTCCTTCTAGATCGAGCAGTAGATAGAAGTCCATACCTGCAAGTACTTACCTCTTGTAATGGGTACTGTTAGCTGGTCATGATTGAGCCAATCATTCTATTTTTACATGTGTTTTGAGTGCTAGTCAGTTGTGGTATGGTTATTTTGAATGGAATGGCTATGTTTTAAGGTCTTGTTTGGAATTGTTTTTGGCTTATACTGTGGAGTGAAAATGAAATGGAAAAGGAAAATAAATTATAGGAACTTGCTCCATTATCATCCCTACTAGAGAAGCTTAACTTAATATTAAAAAAATAAAATATATGTATGAAGATTCTTCTTTTCTTAAGTAAAAAAAAAAAAAAAAAATTCATAGAAATAAGAGAAAATTAAACTAAGAGAAAGTGATAAAATTTCAATTTTACAAGTTCAATTTATTGTACATCTTTTTAGTTTTTTTTTTCTTTTTCCTCATTTACTAAAAATTACTCAGAACCATTCGTGAACTTCGTGCGCTTTCATTCCAACGTTCCGCGCAATTTCGCTCACTCTCTCATCACTTGAATAAATAATTATGTGAAAATCTGGAAACGAGTTAAGGAATTAGTGACACGTGCGTGCCTATAAGTACTCCTCACTCTTCTTTTTGCTTAATTTCTCACCACTTGCCTCCTTTCTAGTCCGCCCTCTCGCTATACAGCAGTCTCTGTCTCTATATTAGCAATTTGAAGGTTTTCGTAGATCTATGAATAAAAATATATATATATATATATACTTTTTATTAGTTTTATTTTTCTTGAATATTTGATAGACATGATGTATTGATGTGCGGTGAAGATTTAATAATCGTGTTCCAAAGATCGTTTCTCATGACACTGTTTGTGACGGCACACAATCCACTAAGAAGTTCTGAGCGCAAAACTAACCTATTTTGCTAGACTCTATAATATTCTAGTTTTAAATCCTCTAGTATTTATTTGCTAGTGATTTTAGGGTTTCTTCCAATTTTATTCGGTTTTGATTTGAAATTAGGGAGGAAAAAGATGAGATGATGATGAAATTCATTGGTCTGTCAATCCACTGATGTGTGTGATGTTAATAATGAATTCCGACAGGTTCCGATTGTCATTTTCTTCCCACACCCAAAAAAGCCTACAAATTATCACACACCTAACTCACATCTTTATATAATTATATATATATATAATTATAAACACGTACTTAATATGTATGAGTATGTTTATGTTCTTATTTTCTTGGTAATGGGCATGTGATGAATCTCATAACAAATGGGTAATTTGCGTCTGAATGTGTCAGTAATGTTAAATCACCTTGGAGAACTGATGCTTCTTTTTATTGCGTGTTTAGCTTCTTTTTATATAGTGTGTGATGGCAACAACATTTTTTAAATTTTAATAATATTAATGTTAATGGTGTTAATATAGTAAAAGCGGAATTTGAATTTTATGAGTTTAAAATGAAGCTAATCTTTTACATTATGTTGCCAATTATCACAGCTATGTACGTTAGTGACATATTTAGCTATTCATTTGAAAGATGTATGGACTAAGTAAAATATATTATTGTAAACATTTTTGTGATTTTGGTTTAACTATTTGGTCCTTCTGAATTAACAATGCTTGATTCCTATGTGAGGTTTTTGTTTTTGACCTAACATGAAGTACTTTAAAGGGTTTTTTAATTTTTGCCTTCGGAACATTTAGTTGTGCAATAGTGGCTTTGTATCATTTGACTCTTTACATTTGCTACTTGTGAAGCTTGCTACTGATGGGGATGTGCATATTATAAAAATTTTCATTAAGGCTCTCCGTTCCTGTTTCACTTCCTTGAAGATAAGGTTTGCATAATTTTTTTCATTCATCTTATGTATGACGTTGTAGCTTAAGTTGTAACAATGTTGTTTCTAACATCTCATTTAACCAACTTTACTTTATGTAACAATGTTGCTGGATCAGACTCTCTTATGTTGCCGGAGAGGATCTCTAAAATTATTTATACTTGGGGTAAGCTGCCTAATGCCAATATCTGACCCTTCACTTTGGTATTGTGTGTTGGTTAAGCTGTTTGATGTGCTTAAATAAAATAAGTGATTATTTTTTCTCTCAGTAAACTATTTAAATGAATTGATATTTTTAGATTCCCTCTCAATTATGACCATATTAAAATTTTGTGAAACCACATTCTGCCATAACGTAAGTTACCACTTGGGTACTTTAAATCTTACGGTATCGGTTGGTTAATTTAGATCTTAATTTAGAGAGATGAAGATTTGAAATCTTTTAAGTTGCTTTAATCAAGTATTTTAAAGAAGTCTAAACAAAATAGCTATGATTATAAAGCAGGGAGAAAGATAAAAAGTCACAAAAATAAATGTCTTATGGATTTGGATCCCTTCCTAGATCCTTTTAGAAGATATTGCATTTAGAGTTTATAAACCCTAAATGCATTCCACAAGAGAATTTCTCTCTTTAAAATTATTCATTCAAGTTTTCCACAAAATTCTCTGTCTAATCTCTTACAAGTCAAGTTTAAGCTTTAAAAATCTCTACAATGGGAAAGAAGTGAGAAAGTAGATCAGGGAAAGGAGAACACAAAGCTTGAAAGCTGAAGGAGATGCACTCTTGAAAGTTTTTTTTGAAAAGGATTTTCATCTCTGCATCAAGAGTTTTCATGCTTCCCAAAACATCAAATACTCATTTCATTACGAATGACATCTTTGGACATTGAAGATTGGTGGATCAATAATGTGGTACAAGGAAGAGTAGATCTAGCAAGCAAGGGTAGGAGTTCCTACGATCTAAGAGCATCACAAGCCTTTTTGGCCAATCGCTTGCACTGTAACGAATTAAATCCCGTGGGTTGGGCTTCTCCATTTGGTGGAGACCACACTAAATTCCACACTCCACTTGTGGAGTAGCACCCTTGATGTATGACCATGGGCCTAAAGTAGGCCCTTGTGTGTATATATATATATATATATTTAAATTATGGTGTGTGAGACAAATAATAAAAAGTATAGAGTCAAAAAATAATAAAATAATAAAGTGGTGAGCAGGAGAGAGGAGTGCACACCAAGAGGAAGGACTTTCCAAAAAAAAAAGTTGTAGAGCCACGTTAGCAATTGTGGAGCCAATTTGGTTCCTTCCACACAGGTTGCTCTGAAAGTGAGATTGAAGGTTGGAAGAAAGTATTGGTCTTTGTGTATGAGATCACATCATTCTATTTATGAAATTTCTAAGCCTAAATTCGTGGGAATCTAGAAATAGAAAATGTGTAGGACTAGAGTGTAAATCTCTTTTTAGTCTCTTGGAGAAGATGTTTTAGGGTTTAGAGCATCCCGTGTGCAAAAATTGGCTCTACAGTTTTTTGGAGAGTCCTTCCCTCCTAGTGTTCTCTCCCACTCTCCCACTCTCCGCTTTATTATTTTATTATTTTTAGGCTCCACACACCCATCACTTTTCTTTTTGAAAAAACAAAAAAATATACACAAGGGTTCACTTTGGGCCCTTAGTGAGCTGCTATACCACACTCCACAAGTGGAGTGTGGAATTTGGTGTGGGCTCCACCAAATGGAGAAGCCCACACCAAATGCAAGCCATTGTCCAAAAAGACTTGCCATTGGCCAAAACACTCTCTAGATCCAATAAACAAATTCCAATCAGGGATTTTCCTAGCGTTTAAAGTGTAAATTTGTTTAAATATATAATAATTCATTATAAGAAAGGCATTACTTAATAATTCTCAAATGGTTACTTATTAATGTGTAAGTATTAAATTTGGAAATTATTCATTTTGTCAGTACTTTATAGTTTAGAATAATTTTGTTTGGGTTTCATTTCTTATATCTAATTTTTCTTTAATATTTTTTTAGAGATTCACCCTCTTCTACATTGGGCAGTAGATAGAAGTTGATATCTGCAAGTTGTTGCCTCTTGTAATGGGTACCATTGGTTGGTCATGATTGAGCCAATCATTTGTTTTTTACATGTGTTTCGAGTCCTAGTCAGTTGTGGTATTTTGAATAGAATGGCTATGTTTAAGGTCTTGTTTGGAATTGTTTTTGGCTTATCTTGAGTGAAAATGAAATGGAAAAAGAAAAGAAATTATTATTAACTTTTAGACATTTAGGACTGAACAACTATCAAACAGAACTGCTTCATGATCATCTTACTTCCTAGAATAATTTGATGATCTAAAGGATTGCCAATCATTTTTATATGTTTTGGTGTATCGGCTTTGCTCGCTGGGCTATTGCCCAGTGAGTGGATCCCACATTCCCACTCGCTGAACAAATGCCCAGTGCTCACTGGCTATTTAAGCTGGACTTGCCCAACTTGCTTTGCAATTTAAAAAATATATATTAATAATTAGAATATAAAAGATGAAAATGAATATAATAAAAATGGTGACCTTATGTCACATACATGTGTTCCTAACAACACAGATGGTAGTTCATCGAAAGACACAAATATCATCTTGCATGCTATTTTAGAAATTTGGTTAAAATTTTACTTTATGATTCTGGTATAAGAAAATAGACTTGTGCAGAAATGGAATTTTTACCAGTAAAGAAAGTTTGCTAGAAGGAAGATTTTCTGAGATAGTTATTCCAATGTTGGATTTGCTTATATGTATATTGTTTTTATAAGTTTTTTTTTTTTTTTTGCCTTGAATATTTGATAGACATGATGTGCTGTGAAGATCTAATTTTCGTGTTCCTAATTTAGTGTCTATCATGACATTGTCTGTGATGGCACACAATCCACTAAGAAGTTCTGAGCACAAAACTCATCTACTATTATTCTAATCTAGCTTTAAATCCTCTTAATTTTTTGCTAGTGATTTTAGGTTTTCTTCTGAATACAAGCCTTTTGTGATTAGTTTTTTTTTTTTTTTTATCTGAAATTTGGGAGGAAAAAGACGAGTTGACGAAGAAATTCATTGGTCTGTCAATCCACTGACATATTACTGTGTAATGTTAATAATGAATCCCGACAGGTTTTGATCGTCTCTATCTTCCCAGATCCAAAAAACACACAATTCATCATGCACAACTCATTTCTAACTGACCTAGATTGACCTGAATGGATGAATTCGTAACTATATTCCGTATTGGTGTTAATAAAAATACATGACTCAAACACCAAGTTCAACACCACTAATTATAGACCTGAACCACTTAACTGCCTATGAGTCCTTTAAACTATTATTACGAATTCGATATCTTGTATTGTTCGAGTTTCATTCTCATATAAACATATATGGTTAATCTTCAATAGTTACAGAGTGGAAGTACTCCAAACTATTGACAAGCTGCTCGGTTACACCTACGGTGGTGGTTTTGGAGAGAGGAGCAGACAGTTTGTGAATTTGATTAGTGGAAGTTACTATTTTAATTCTGAAACACTATGTTATGTTCTTTTTTTATTATGGGGAGATCTTCAGTTAACGGATCCTTTTGTTTGTTTTCTGGGATATGATAGATTGTACTTTATAGTTTACAATATTTTTGTTTAATTTTTTTTAGAGATTTGCCTCTTCTAGACTGAGCAGTAGATAGAAGTCTATATCTGCAAGTACTTTTCTCAGCAGTAGATAGAAGTTGATAACTGCAAGTACTTGCTTTTTGTAATAGGTACTGTTGGCTGGTCATGATTGAGCCAATCATTCTATTTTTAGATGTGTTTTGAGTCCTAGTCCGATTTAATATTCTTGTTCCAAAGATTGTCTCTCCAATGACACTGTCTGTGACGGCACACAACCCTCTGAGAAGTTCTTAGCGCAAAACTAACCTATTTTACTAGATTCTATTCTATTCAACCTTTAAATCCTTAGTAACTTTTGCTCTATAGTTATTTTATTTGCTAGTGGTTTTAGGGTTTCTTCCGATTTTAGT